TAGAAAGTATCATCTCTTCCACAAATATAGTGTAATTGTCTTTCAATTGAAGTAGTAAAGTTGTAGCTATCCGAATTTACTATGCCAATAAAACACTATAAATCCCCAGAAGGACCGACCAGTTAGCGACTTGGCCAGTAAAGTTTAGCAAGAGAAAAAAAGATAATTATGTGTTTAAATTGGTTGTTCGCAAACAGACAGTGTATGGCAGCTTTATTCTTTTTCCCTTGAACTCATAAACCATGAGATAAGTTGAAAGGATATCTATCTGCTCCAGGTTTTTTTTGACAAACTGTCTTATTCTCTCTTTCAGTTCTGGTCGGCCTATGTACCCTGTGACACGCAGTACAAAGATGCTGTCCGACAAACTCTGGAGCAGATAGACGTGGTCCACAGGATTTGTTCAAAATATCCAGACACCTTCCAGTTTGCCACCACCAGTGAAGGTGAGACATTCATCTATATCACTTTCATCCAACCAACAAACAACTGCATCACCCTGGATCACCTTTTGCTCCTGCACAGAGATCAAGGAGGCCTTCAATTCGAAGAAGGTCGCCAGTCTGATCGGGGTTGAGGGTGGCCATTCCATCGACAGCAGCTTAGCGACTCTGCGCATCATGTACCATATGGGTGTCCGCTACTTGACACTCACACACTCCTGTAACACACCTTGGTGAGAGCAAGCAACACAGTGGATTAAACTCACTACGAACAAAACTCAACATTCACGTTAGCTTATACATTTAGGCTTTTTACTGTAAAACTATAAAAAAATGATATATATATATATATATATATATTATAAATCTATGATTTATTCTACACTTAAGCATCTTTTGGAGGATTATCATAGAATAAAAACACCAAATTGCCAACTGAAAAGAGCAGAAATCTGATACTTGTCAGATATATAGTGGACGAAGAACATGTTATGAGCATAACTGCTTTTAGATTAAATGCTTCCAATAAAAGTGTTGAAAAATGTCCATTAGTCTCAGTTTAGGTTTCATTGTGGATAGTCTGGGGGATTCCTGCAGCCCTGTTCCTCCAGCATATCAGATTACCCTGCATTGGTACTGACATGTTCTGCTTTAATCTGAGATGACTGTATCATCCCTTTAGTGAGACTTTGGACCCCAAATTGTTCCTTTTTGCAGCTGTGTGCAGACTGAAAAGCAGTACAAAGAAAGGTTTAAATTAAGCACATTAGCTTTAAACTTGTTTCAATATTAAACCCAGTGGGTTTCTGAAGCAATGTCCACCTGAACGTACAAACTGTAATAAACCAGGAATCGTTTCACAACTATCAGGCTTTTCACACCATTGTAAAGGTACGATATAGAGAAATATCATTCCATTTGAACCACTACAGTATCATGGCTGGTAATAAGCCTGTGATTAAACAAAGAAACAATGTTTTTAAATATTTTATATTTTTTAATCAACATGGGGGGAAAAAAACAGCAGGAGAGTCTGCAAGAGATGTGCAATAGCTTGTTGGATAGATCTGAATCTATAGTCTCCAAGTATAGCAGTCATAAAGAGCAGGGCAAGAATATAGTGTCCTTAGGCCTTTTTTCAAAAGTCTGCAGTCTTATAGAGCCTAACATAGCAACTTCTTTGTTTAAAATGGAGTAGAACTGAAAGTATTTATAAAAAAAAAGTTATATGACTTGTCTTAGAAGCATTAAGGCCTCCTCCTATGAGGGGTGTACTGGCTGAAGTTCATTTTAACAACATGACAAGTAGTTATTTTTGTAAACTTTGGACTAATGTCCATCTTTTATCTTTATTGTAAAGTTGTACATATTTTGTTCACCCCCATATCTGGAGAGAAACTCCACCTTAATTCTCACTCTTGGGTAACTTACAATTAGTTTCTCTCTCTCACCCTGATGTAGCTGCAGCATCTGCAATGTGTATTTCTTTCATTTCTGGGACGACATTAGATCAGGTTCATGTCAAGCATGCCAACATATCAGCATTTTTTCTTTTAAGATTGAAGTACAAAAAAAATGAAATGAATAAACTGTTTCAAGCTGTTTTTTTCTTTATTTTTTGATGTCATGAATAATGCAAACAAATAGTCCTTTAGACATAATAAAAACGTTATAAAATGTGTTGGCACCTGGTTATGGTAACAAAAATTGACTGAAAGTTTGTTTTTAAATGTTAGAAAGCCAATAAACTGCAAAGTCCTACAGTTATTTATTACAGTTACATTTTTCAAATTCCTGTATAATGTTGAGATTTTCCTAAGTATGGACACAATAAATAAATGAAGTCTGCAGGATATAAACATACAAGCTGTGTATTACTGTTTTTTAAAGTTTTTTTTTTTTTTTTCAGGGCTGACAACTGGCTTGTCGACACCGGATCAGATCCATCTGAGAATGATGGCCTCTCTGATTTTGGCAAGGTAAGAACAAGCAATAGTAGAGACAGGCTAATTAGACCTCTATAATCTAATCTGTAGTTTGCCTGTTTGAACTAATGTTTCTACAGATTTACTACAATTAGGAAGTATGTCACATCACTTATATAAAGCTACCTCCGGCTCAAACAAAGCTTCATGCATGTTGACACAGAGTCAATATGCATTTATCACTGTACTAAATTCAACCTCTGACCTGCTATAATCAAATGTTTTACTATCTGACAACAATGATTGATGAAAATGCAGATATTTATTAGGAAACGACTGTTTGCTAATAGGTCCTCAACATGTGTTGAAGAAGATATGATGCGCAAAAATAATGTTTTAGCATGATAAGATGAAACAGTTGCATAACAATTATTGCCAGATAATCAGATGCTGTACAGAAAAGAGGCTTATCTGTTAAAATATGGACAGTTTTATCACTCTGATGCTTTGGATCATTTATCTACATGTAATAACCATGTCAAACATTCATTCTAATATTACTCACAAATGTTATAAAATATATATTTACATATTTTTCCCTGTTTCATCAGCAACTTGTAAAGGAAATGAACCGTCTGGGGATGCTCATTGACTTGGCTCATGTGCCTGTAAAAGTAATGCACCAGGTCTTAGACATGTCCGAAGCTCCTGTTATCTTCAGCCACTCCTCTGCATATTCTATCTGCGAACATAAGAGAAACGTGCCCGATGAAGTCCTCCGTAGAGTGGTGAGTACGTGCCAAAACTGAAACAAATACATTCTTAGATCACTTATGAAAATAGCAAGCTTTAAACAGGTATTCCACATATTTCTGATGTCAAATTTTCTAATAAAACCTTCTTTTTGATCTGATGTAATACAGTTTTTATTAGCTTAAAGAAGAGAATAATCATAATGCACATATATAAAGATTTCACAACATCTGTCTACTTGAAAATAATACAAATATTTTACTTTGTGAACTCATATAATAAAAATAACAAACATTTTAATCATATTCTAACTTTCAAGCATGATGTTACAACATCATCTTCATCAAAAAATAAATAAAATAGATAAAAAAAAAAAAAAAAAAAAAAAAAAAAAAAAAAAAAAAAAAAA